GATCCAGGTGATCGATATATGTATTTTTTTTTTGTCTGCTTATTTTGTTGGTTTTTGTTTACTGCCCTTCACCCCCGTCCCTCTTCTCAGGTGTTTTTCTTTCCCTCTTTCTTTCTCCCCTTCTTTCCCCCAGTCAAGTCTGTCCCGTATTCAGCAAGTGAAAATAATATAAACAATAAAAGGTGAATCAAATGGACCATTACGGCAAAGCCAGGATGGTCCATTTGGTAAAGTAAATCTGTTGGGCATCTTTCTTCGCCTTTAGACAACAATTCTAATGGCAAAACGGAGCCAAACGGGACAGGCAAAAAAAAAAAAGAAGCTCACAGTTTGGTTTTTATTTTTTGACAGTGTCTGTGGCTTTTCCCTGCACCCTTCAGCATTTTGCAGTGCTCACTGCTCCGGTCAGCTCTCTCCTCCTCCTCTCCAGCCTAGCTGCTACTGAAATAGTGAAGGCTGGTTTTCACAGCCAACGAGCATCATTTAGTCATGCCTAGAATAAATGATGCTCATTGGCTGTGAAAACCAGCCTTCACTAGCATCAATGTATATTTTGTAGATTATTTACATTTCCAGTACTGTTGCTTAACCGTGTAAGACCCAACCCATCAAAAAATGCCAGTTTACCTTTGGGAGCCTTGCTGTTCGTGGATTTTTTTTGTGTGCAATTTTGCATGCTGCTTTTTTTTTAAAACAGCGCAGTGTCCTGATTGGCTGTAGACCATTGTCAATCAGTTTTGTGCCATGACTGTCTGTACAGTACAGAATGTGTTCAGCTTGTTAAATTTACATAAATCTTCAATCGCTAGCAGTGTGACTGTGAAGTGCTGCACTGTATGTTTGTAAGTTTTCTCCCCAACAAACACAACAATGTTGATGAATTCACTGGGGAGCCAATGCAGCTGTATTAGCAATGGTGTTTAGATGTTTTGGACAGAAGCCTTGCTGCAGTGTTTTGGACAATGTGCAAGTGGATCTGGAGTGGATGTGAACAGCATCAGGGTGGGACAGCTGCTGTTCATTAAATGGTGTTCAGTGCAGTTATTGCATATATTTTATTAGGATCTAAAAAAGCTGAATCTCCACATAATTGGTGAAAATCTTATCATGTTAGCTTCAAAATTTGCGACCATAATTCCTGTAAAGGGAGAGGCAGCAAAACCAGAAAAACAGCTGCAGGTAGAGGCGGAGCAACACCTCAAATACAAGAAGTTCAACATCATTTTGCAGAAGTGAAAGTGTGAGAGAGCAGCAGCAGAGCTGCAGTCGAGTCCTGTTTGTCTCTAAAAGAAGATTCACTGGAGTCCATCAGGTTTCTCTCAGCAACAGTGGTGAGTGCAGCTCGTCACACTTCCTTTTCCACACAAATCTTCTCTCTCTGTTCACTTCATGTTGACTCATTGACAGTCACATTGGTTCCAGAAAATCTACTCATTTAACTGATGGGTCTGTCTAGCACAACCCCTCGCTGGAACGAGACAATTTTACTACAATAGCAAAAGAAAGATGCAAGTCACCAAAGTTCTTTGTTTTACTCGTGCACGAGGGAGAGAACTGTGACAAGCGTGTTCCTGTCGCTCACCAGCAGTCGCTCTTGTTTGCTCCCTCGTAACACTGCACTTTTATTGAGGTTACATGAATATGAAAAAGTTCATTAACATATGATATCTTACATAGGCGTACATGTGAACAAAGAGTACCAGTCTGTGCATAGTGTAGGTGTGTGTGTACCACATATCCGCGAGAGAAGATACGACCTCTCTCATGACCCTAGGAGGTGTGTAATCTATGCCAGAACACTCTGAACACTCCCCTCTTCATGCTGCACAGAGTTGTTACAGACCTCATAGGATGAGACATTCTTTCAATATGCAATCAACTATATACTTCTAAGCATAAATGATTATATGTTTCTCAATACAAATGACAATAACAAAATACAAACGCAACAGCAACCACAGATGTTGATGCTGTTTCAAACAGGACTCTGGACTCAAAGTATGTGCTCCAAACTTTGGACTGACTCCACACTTTCTGTTCTGATTACTGTTTGTTCATGACTTTCTGTTCTGATTACTGTTTGTTCATCACTTTCTTTTCTGATTACTGTTTGTTCAT